TTTTTTTTTTTTTTTTTTTTTCATCATTCGAGTTGAATTCGGGAACGGTACACGAGGTGTCTCATTGTTCTTCTCGGCACTTTTTTTTTGTCCCGTCTTCTTCTTGGTTCCGTCCCATCAGTGAATTACGATACGCATTGATTCTGGCAGCTTTACGCCCCACGTTGATAAAATGAAATATCACACGCTGGTGTGTACGCCGCCTCGTACTCTCACAGTCCACATGGCAAATATAATACGTCGTGATTTTATACACGGTATGATACTCGATCGTAGTCTTATCGTAGGCTTATACCGCATTGCGTGCAAATGCGAGGAATTTTTCGCAGATAAATTACACGTCGATTAATTAATTAATAAATTACATGGAAATGGTGCAAGTCCATTTACAGCCCGTAAATATATATTATTTTGGTTAAATTCGCCTAAAAGAATTGATATAATTATATATAATATTTTTGAATTGACTAATATGCTAACTTTTAATTTTCTCGAAACAACAAAAAAATGGACTTGCACCACTTTCAAAATAAACGGTCGCAGCCTCTGGTCATTGAATTCGAAATCTCGATTCCCGAGGAAATCGAGGAATCGTTCGAAGTCATCGGTTCAATTCAAATTTGAAATTCTAGTAAAATCGAAAGGTTTTAAACGAAATTTGTTAATTATTAGCAAGCTGCGGATTTTTCTGTATTCGTTGGGAATTTCTCGAGTGCAAATGTAATGCTGATTATGTAAGAGAATGTATATAAAGTATCCAAAGTGTAGTGCTTTCTATTTGTGGTACGTAAACAAAAATCTTTCACCGAGGTTTCCCATCATTTTACATTCTCGAAAATATGAATTTGCAGAAAATGGTTTTAAATTACGGTTTTATGTTTCTTGCGAATTTTCTACGGCTATCGAAATACAAGGACATATAAGTGTGCCTTTAAAGGCCGCGATTTTTAAGGGCGTTAATGAAGTTCAAAGTGCCCGTTAATGAAGAGTCCGCGTTGCGAAGCTCGAGCACACGCGGAAGATGGGGACAAAAGGAAAAGGCAAGCAGATAAGAATGAAAAAAGCGCGAAAGATACGAGAAGCCTTGGTGATGGCGGACGAGCGTTTACTCGACGCCATTTGAGGAGCTTCGGGAGTGCGGGAAAACGCGGCAATCCGAGACGTCCGTTTCCCTGATATATCTCTCGTTGCATTGTCTTCGGATGACAGAGAAACGTCCTTCGGTTCGCGAGTCCGCACGGGAGGATTCCGTCCGCGTATTACTCGCCGCGCGTGCAACTACGTTGGTCGGTGCATTAGAGATTTTGCAACCAGCCGACGATCTGCATACGTGCGTGCTTTCCTGTCAGGCCACGGTCCTCTCGCGAATCGTGATTCCATCCTTGAGTTGGATCTTCGTGCGCAAAGATTTAATCTCATTAATTCAATCCATAATTAAAAAGCGAGCGGGCTTGCGGGCGAGTCGAACAGAATC